AGTTTGAAAACCACCCGCCCTCCCCGTTGTCGTTTTCAGCTTCCGGGTCGTAAATGGTGAGGAAAGCTCAGGCGAAACGCCCGGCCCACCCTAAAAACTGGCTTCGGGGTGCGACAAGGAGGAGTCATCTATAAGGAGAAGGAATGGAGGAGGAGGAGAAGGAGGAGGAGGAGGAGGAGGAGGAGGAGGAGGAGGGGGAGGAGGGGGAGGAGGAGAAGGAGGAGGAGGAAAAGGAGGAGGACGAGAAGGAGGATGATGATGATGATGATGATGATGATGATGATGATGAGGAGGATGAGGAGGAGGAGGAGGAGGAGGAGAAGGATGGGGACGAGGCGGAGGAGGAGGAGGAGGAGGAGGAGGAGGAGGACGGAGGACGGAGGATGGAGGACGGAGGACGGAAGACGGAGGACGGAGGACGGAGGACGGAGGCGGAGGCAGAGACGGAAGCGGAGGCGGAAGCGGAGGCGGAGGCGGAGGCGGAGGAGGAGGAGGAGGAGGCGGCGGAAGAGGCGGAGGAGGCGGAGGAGGCGGAGAAGGCGGAGGAGGCGGATGCGGCGGACAAGTGATGAGAGAGAAGGGTGGAGGATTTTTGGATTGCGCGCGCGATGAACCTGGCGGCTGTCGCGAAAGAGTGGCGCTGCAACTCGCAGAAACTTTGAAGAACAGTCAGGCAGGTCGGCTGAACTAAGAAGCGGTGATCTGCACGGGCACCAAGTGAGGCAAGGTCAGCACGACACGAATGGACCCCCGCATCAGAGCGGACGGGACGCGTCGAAACGAAACAATGAATCCGTACCTCCCTCCCATCTCTCATGAAACCCCCATCCCCCACAATAGGTGGCGACGGACAGATCAAGACATACTCTGCCCGCGTGCCGTGCCCTACACGGGCATTGTGGAGGAGAGGCGGAGGGAGGGAATAAAAACAAGTTAGGATATGTGAGAGGGAGAAGGAGGGCTGGAACACAGACCGAAATCCTCCTGCTCTCGTGACACGGAATAGACCTTGGGAGAAGGCTGGGACACAGACCGAAACTCTCCTGCTCTCGTGATTTCTTGACATCTCGTACCTGAGCGGGGGAAGGAAAACTTCGCACCCTCGCGACACGGACGAACGACGACGGCGGAGGCAAGCAGAGGCGATTACCTTCGCGCTAACCGAGGGAGGGAGGGGATGCGACGCATGCTACGGCAGCTGCTGCTCCTCCCCTGTACCTCCCCATCCTGCGAACCACCCTTCAAACTCCTCCATAACCAGCGTCAGGAAACGCCATACAAAGGACGTTCCACCGCGTGCCGAGCGGCTACCACTGCAGTCTGGTGCCAGCTACTATACGTTCAGCGACACAAGCATCGATGTCGTCTGTTGAAAGGGACAGCCTCGTGGGCGGCCGAGGAAGAGGAGGATGTGCAGGAAGACATCCTGGACTCACCCACCTACGCACATGCATCAGAAAGATCTCTTCGCTAACTCGGCTGTGTATGGGCTCGCGGCTAAGATCAGGAAGCACATGCGCTGGTACGCGCTGTACTCGATTCCATTTCCACTGCAAACTAATGCCCAATGCCACGACATATTTGCGAAACGGCGGCCTGCTAGAGGGCCGGAATGCCACCGAGGCCTCGCTCTGTAGCTGCTCGGCATTCACCTCTGCGGCAGGCGCGGCTCTCGCGGGCCTGCGGCCAGCAGGTGCCCTGCTGCTGGCGGCGGCAGTCGCCGCGGCTGCGGCTCCGGCGGCAACCGCAGGCAGCTCCGGAGCAGTTCGACGACCGGGGCGGCCGCTTGGCTCTCGGCGAGCCGCACGAGGGCACCAGCAGCCGTGGCGCGGGCCTCGTCCACGCAGGAGTGATAGGCAGCGGGCTGCGGCGGGCGCCTCATCCCAAGTGCCGTGGTCAGGCTCGACGGGAGCACGGGGGGACGACTGGGAGGAAGTCCCCGGGCAGCCCCAGGTGCCTCCATGGAACCCCAAAGCCGCCTCCAGGCAGCGCCGTCAGCCGCCCGAATGGTGCCGAGCTCCGAGCGGCACGCGTCCAGCGGCTGGAGCTGCGTGAGGCCCGCAGGCTGCCCCGCCACCTCCGCCGCGCGGGCCAACGGGACGGCGTGCGCCTCCGCGAACGCGCCGTGGAGCAGCTCGGAGGGCGCCTCGATGTTGTCGCCGTGGGGCAGCTCCGGAGACGCCTCGGTGAGCTCGCCTCCATCCGTAGGCTGCGAAACGCATCCCATGCCAGCACTCCGAGAGCCGAGGACTCCGAGACGAACGTCAGAAAGCGGCGGCGGCGGCGGGGGCACGCGGGGCTCAGCCAGCGCCGCAGCGGGCGGAGCGACAGGCGGCGCGGGCACGCGGCCGACCAGGTGCCCGCAGGGGCCCAGATACGCCGCAAAAGCGCCAGCTAGCGGCGCTGGCAGTGGCGGTGCAACCGGTGGCGCTGCCAGCGGACCTCCAGCACCAGGCGGGGCCACAGCAGCCTGGTAGATCGGCGAGACCACGACGTCCGTGTCGGCGACAGGGCTGGCAGCCAAACTGTACTTGCGAGCGTAGGCGAAGTCTGTGGAGTCCGCGGTGGACTCGGAGTCGGCGCTGGCGTGGTCGACGACGTCGCTGTGCACGGGCTCGTGCTGCACGTGCGCCTCCAGCACCGGCGCTGGCTCGGCCTCTCGATGATCATCTTGTCAACCAGCAAGCCGATGAGCAGCAGCGGCATCCGCAAGAGCCGAAACGTCGGCCATACGAGGCAGACGGTGTACACGTGCGGCATAGCCGAGCCTCCGCGCCGCGGCGCGGAGCTCCGGCCTCAGACGGCAGCTGCGACGGCGCCGTCCGGAACATCTCGTAGGCACGCGGCCGGCCCGCAGCTCGCCTGGCAGCCGCGCCAGGGGCGAGTCGAGGCGGCCGGCGCGCATGGCAGCCAGCCCCGCGCGAGGTGCGCTGCTCCTGGAGCAGTTCCAAACACCTCGGTCCGGGGCGGCTTGAGCCAAAATGGCTACGGAAGGGTGGAGGGAGGAGGGAGGAGGCGAAAGAGGGAGGGAGGGAGGAGGGCGGGAGGGAGGGAACAAGGAAGAAGGGGATGGAGGGAGGGAGGGAGGGAACGAGGGAGGGGGAGTGGGGAGGGAGCGAGGGATGAGGAGAAGAGGAGGAGAGGATGGGGAGGGGATGACAAGGATGATGAGGCGGAGGCGGAGGAGGAGGAGGAGGATGAGGAGGAGGAGGATGGGGGATGCGGAGGATGAGGCGGAGGAGGAGGAGGCGGAGGAGGAGGAGGATGAGGTGGAGGAGGAACAAACATAATAAGGAGGATGAGGAGCAGAAGCAGACTACTAAAACACACAATAACACCAAGACGAATCATACGATTCAGAATACTTCTACGAAGAAGAAGAAGACGACTACTCATACGAATAATATCATGAAGCGCACATCGTTTAATCATAGTACTACCCACACGGATAATCATAATACTACTACTACTACAACTACTACTAAGAACAATGGGAATACTAATCCTACGACAAATAATGATAAGATGAGAGGGGAGGAGGAGGAGGAGGAGGAGGAGGAGGAGGAGGAGGAGGAGGATGAGGAGGAGGAGGACTAGGAGGAGGAGGAGGAGGAGGAGGATGATGAGGAGGAGGAGGAGAAGGAGGAGGCGGAGGCGGAGGCGGATGTGGTTTGGGCTTCGGCCCCCAGGTCCCTCACACGCTCGCAGATCGGCCAGGCTTGGGGAGTGCGGGAGAAACGTCGGCGTCGAGGGTTCTGGTCGTGGTTTTTGCAACGGAATTTCAAGTTTGTTGAGACGTGAGGGCTGCGAGCTGGATTTCTCGTGAGGGCTGCGTGGTGTATTTTTGTGTTTTGTTTCTTGTTTGTTCTTCGACGTCGGCGTCTGTGTGCTGTTTTCAGGCCTCGGGGCCATCGCCTTTCTGTCCGGGACGATTAACCCGCCTCCCAGGGAAAAAAAGGGCGTTTTCGTTTGCAGGAGAGCGCCCAAGCCTTTTTCGGGCGCCCGTCGCCGTGCCTGAGGATAGCTGCTAGGTGTTCATGTAGGAAGTGCCGTCGGTCGACCTAGATCGGCGGAACACGTTTAGCGTTTCAGGAGGGGGAGGAGGAGGTGCAGCACGAAAAGGAGGAGGAGCAGGGGGAGGAGGAACTCCTCTTCCTTCCCTCCTAGTCATCATTCCTCGACCGTCCTCCTCCTCTTCCTCCTGGTCCCTCTGTCGGCAGCCGTCCCCGTCCCTCTCCTCCTCCCCGTCACTCTCGCTCCCTCTTCCTCCTTCTCTCACGCTCTCCGGCTCTCTCGTCCCCGTCCACCCTGCCTGACCAGCTCTTCCTTTTCCCCTCTTTCATCCTTCTTCTTCACCTCCTTCCTCCTTCTGCCCCGCCCATTCCCCCTCCTTCTCTCGCTACTCCTGTCCTGCATCCTCCCCTCATTTTCTCTTTCTTCCCCCCCTGTCATCTGCGTATTCTTGTGCATTTGTTTTTTTCTTCTTATTCTTCTTCTTCTTCCTCTCCTTCCTCCTCCTCCGCTCGTTTCCTTCCAATGCCAGTCATGCCTCCCTGGGGGCGAGTTTGAGACGGACAGGGAGGGAGGAGCCCAGACCTCCGGCGGACTGAGGAAAAGTCGAGGCGGCCGTGTTCTGGTTTCTGGCTGCCGGTCCTCCTGGGGCCCGGTTCTTCGGGATCCCGGTCGCGGCGTCGCCACGAAGGGGTCGAACTGGTTTTCTGTGGGCCCCGACGTGTTGAGCAACATCTATGACGTCGGAGGTGTGTGTTTTTTCGGGTCGCAGGCGTGCGCGGCCTTCAGCATGTCTAGTCCAAGGGTGGCGTGCGCGGCCCGCGTGGTTGCACTCGACCACCCACTCCTTCGTGGCCGTATATTTTGCGCCAGCCAGTCTAGGGCGAGGGACGCGAATGTCGATGCTTGTTGATGTTGTCTTTCAGTTGGGTGGCCGCTGAGTCGAACATCGGAGGCATTCCTGCCCTGCTTCCCCTGCCATGCCACAGGCGCATCGACGATCTGAGGCTTCATGCCACAATTGAGGACTCGGGCGTGCTAGCGCTCTGCCATTCAGACACCTGTAATTCGGCTTGCGAGGGGTCACGCGCTCCGTCACGTGGAGGCTCCTTCGCAGCAAGAATTAAGTTTTTGCCAAGGTGACTTGGCGTTCAGCGGCGCAGCAAAGACTACAAGTCCTAGGAAAAACACCAGCAGATACGGAAGCGGGTTCCGACGTAATGCGGCGCATGTCAAGCATGACTCAGGAACCAGGAGGCGCGGAGTTGTGGGTAACATGAATGCCTGCTCGTCGAAACCTGTTCTTGCAATGATGCCGATCGCCTGTGCGGAGCTCTTGCTCCTTTTACCCTTCCTGTTCGGATCTGGTCTGGTGTGGTCTGGTCTTGCGTGAGCTGGCCAGGGCTGGTTTTGTCCCAGCCCTATAACGTCCTGAAAAGATCAGGCCAGGGGCTCTTCACGATTTGTGGCTGCTGGGGGCCGCTTTCGGGCCCCAGACCATGCAACAGCAACGATCGGGGACGGAAAACGGGTCTCGGAGACAGGGCCGAGAGTTCCAGACCATCTCTTGTGTCTTCCCTGGCTTGACCGGTGGGAACACTGGAGTACAGTCAAGACGCTGAAGCAAGGACCAGTCTGTGTTTAGGAGGGGGTCTGGTTTTCAGGCCTTCTCTGTGAACGAGGTCGGGGAAGCTGTTCGTGGCCGAAGCTCGCTGTGGCCAGAAAAGTTCCCTCGTTTCTCGTTTGTCTTTCCTCGTAGTTGCGTGATGACTGTACTATGTTGTCCGCCCGCCTGTCGGTCCCTCGTGCCGTGGGGCCTCTGTCTTTCGGCTCTACCGCGATGGACGTGCACCTGCGCCAGACCCAGACATCCCCCAACCTCCCCTCGCTGCGAGGAAATCACGGCGGAAGGCTTCGGTTTCTGTGAGCCCTCGCTGGGCCCCAGGATTGTATAATAACGGTCAGGGATGGTCCCGGGAAATGTCCAGGCCTCCCGGGGTCAACGTTGTGAACAAATCACGACGTCGGAGATCTGGGTTTGGCGACTCGAGCAGGTCGCGCCGCAGGTATTCCGCCGTATTCGGCCTCCAGGGGGCCGTGTTGGGCCCCCTGGACCGTCAAGGAACGAGCCGGGATGACAAGCCAGTCTTGGGGAAGGGGTGGAGAGGTCTGAGCACTGGCGGTCGTCGCAGGACTTGGTTGGGAGACATCTTCGGGCCTGTTGGGGGCCTCTTGGGGTCTCTTGGGACCCCCAGGGGGGCCCTCACGGGCCATGGCGCACCCTGACCATTTTCCAACTCTCTCAGCCCAGCGCCTCGAAATCATTCATCGTGTAGATCCCAAATTTGCATCCCATCTCTCAGCAATTCCCGTTGTGGATAGAGTGTAAAGATGTGGCGACCAAGCGCTTCCTAGCGGCTCCCCCTTTGAGCACCCAAATGCGATGGCTGCTGCACCGGGATGATGTTGGGACTCTGAACGCAGATGAGTCGGGGGTGTCCAAAGCGGCGTTTTGCTCGAGAGATTCCCGCAATCTGGCGGTGAGCGGGCAAGTGCAACACCCCCTTCCGGCGCCCCTTTGGGGTGCCCACCTGCTTTGCCTGTTACATCGCGGTGACCATGATGTCTTGCTGTGAGCCAGCGTTGACCCCAAGCAGTGAGTTCTTGCATTGTGGAGGTGACAGCTGTGCGGTGTAAGCTATGTGGTGTAAGATATGTTGCATAAACGACGTGATGTGAGTTGTGAAGGAGGGAACTATGCGGGGTAAACTATGTGTTGTAACATGTGCAGTGTAAAACAATGTAATGCGAGCAGGAGGTGTAAGCTATGCGGTTTAAGCTATGTGGTGTAAGCTGCTACGCTACGTTGTTCTTTCTGCGATGCAAGCTATGTGGTGCAAGCTAGGCCGTATAAGCTATGTGGTGTAAGCTCAGCGCACGGGGCGCCCACGAGCGCCCACGAGGCGGCACGGGCCGCAACGTGGCGCAACCTTGAAAGAAATAGACAGCGCACGTGGCGCCCACGAGTACCCACGAGGTGGCACGGGGGGGCAACTTGGCGCAACCTCGGCACCCCCCCCCCAGCGCACGGGGCGCCCACGGGCGCCCACGAGGTGGCACGGGCGTGGCGCAACCTCGCCCCCCCTCCCACACCGCATTGGGCGCTAACGACCGCTCACGAGGCGCCACGGGCGGTAACGTGGCGCAACCTCGCCCCGCCCCCCCAGCGCGCGGGGCGCCTACGAAGCGACACGGGCGGCAACGTGGCGCAGCCTCGGCACCCCCCCAGCGCACGGGGCGCCCACGAGCACCCACAAGGCGGCACGGGCGGCAACGTGGCGAAAGCCTGGAATACCCTACCAATTACTCAACGAAGAGAAACAAGAACCCCATAAGTGCAAGCACCGTCTGGGGAAACACGAGTTTCGTTCAGTGGGCCAAGCAGGCGCTTCCCTCGAGAAATCCGCACTGTCTGAGCGCGAACGGGCCAGTGATATACCTCTTGGCGCCTTCCACTTGGGGTGTCCCTCCATTGCTATCCATGTTTCATCGCGGTGATCATGAACGAGCCTGGGTATGAGGAGCGAGTATAAGTAGGTCTGAGCATGGATGGCACAGTGAGGGTAAGTCTGAGTGTGAGTGTGGCTATGCGTGAGTCTGAGCGTGAATGGTCAGCGCGTGAGTGGTCTATCTGTATTGGTCTGAATGTGACCTAGCTGAGTATGGCTGGATCTGAGCGTGAGTGGTCTGAGTATGATAGATGTAATGGGGGTGAGTCTGGGTGTGAGTGAGTCTAAGTATGCGTGAAACTGGGTGTGAATGGTCGTGTGAGCGGTCAGTGTGTATGAATATGGGTGTGATTACGCCAAGCAGGGGTCAGAGTGTGGGTGGCCACAGTACGAACGCGCTGGATCATCAGTGCATCTGAGTGTGTGTGTGTGTGTGTGGTCTGAGTGTGGGATGGTCTGAGTGCGATCGCGGGCAAGCGCGAGTGGGCGAGTCAGCCACTGTGTGGAAGGACAAGGCGGGAGCGTGAGGAGGCGGAGGCATGACACCAGCATGACAAGATCCCCACCTTTAGAGATGGGGGATCATCCGATCTGTCCCCAGGTCGGGTCCAGAGCCCAGGCGCGCCGATCCCCCCCACCCCGCGTGGAGCGCACTACGCGTTGTCGTCCTCACCGCACCAGGGCGAGATATTCCCATGTACAACGTGCATCCAAGCCAGCCATCGGGCTCTCCCCCTACCCTCTGTCCTCCTCGCTCCTCCTCCTCCTCCTCCTCCTCCTTCTCATCCTCCCTCCTCGTCCCTCCTCCTCCTCCTCCTCCTCCTCCTCCTCCTCCTCCTCCTCCTCCTCCTCCTCTTCCTCAATCCGTTTCCCCTTATATATATATATATATACACACACATCCCTCCCTGTCGCACCCCGAGATGTGTCGGTAGGGCGGACCAGGCGTTCTGTCTGAGTTTTCCTCACCATTTATTTTCTGAAGCTTAGAAGTTACATTAGCTTCGCGGATGGAGGGCGGGTGGTTTTCGAGCTGTGGTTCTCGCCTTCGCCTCTCGCGCATTCGTCTCAACATTTGTTGGCAGCAACTTCACGGATGGAGGGTGGCTGGCTCTGGTGGTTCTCGCCGTCGTGCCGCGCCCACTCGTCTTAGAAATTTGCAAGAGTTCCACTGATGGAGGGCGGTCTAAACTGTGGCTCCCCCGTTCGCACCGCGCACATTTGTTTTCAACTTTACAGCAGTTTGAAGGCTTCTTATGTCGGACATCGTAGACATGGCATTCTGGCGGGATTCGGGATTGTTAGGGGGCGGCAGTCACCTTGATTCGCTGTGTTATGTCCCAGGAGCGGCTTTCTGGCACGATTCAGGGTCGTCCGGCCGCAACAATAACGTTGGGGACTGTCATACAGTAGTCTTCCAACGATGGACTTTGAGGGAAGCTTCATTGCAACATCGTTGATGCATCTCGGATCTGTATGGGCCCTTATCTTCCTCATCCGCGCAGGCTCAGCTTCTGCGCCCGCTGTTGCCATGCCGCAGCCCCACGGCAGCGCCTACTCGGCTGGGCTGGGGCAAACCTGCTCAGCTGCCATATGGACCTTACGGATGTGGCGAGTGCTAGCACTCGCGCTGATGCGCTTTGTGGTCTTGAACCCGTTCGTGTGCAACAGAGAGTAGAGGCTGCTGGAGATCGCAAAATAATTCAAGCAAGCTGACGTGATTGTCCGGATCGGTTCCCAGAGACCAGCGTGGATCGGTGGCGAGGTCCGTGTGCAGCTCATCACCAGATTCAGAGCAGTACATTGGGGCTACATCGCGAAGGACGAGCTGCCGGATGAGTCGTGCGGGATCACTTTCCTGCTGCGCAATGGCACCGCGCGCGCCAAGATCATAATAAGGACGTGGAGTGGCACCCCTGGTCTACGAGGTCGGCTTGCGGCTCTGCGACTGAGGGATCTCAACTTTGAAATGAATGTCATCGCCTTTTGCTGCTGTCCGAGAGTAGAACCCCCGAGAGAGCTGCCACACCGAGACGACGACAGACAAGATCATGAGGCTGACGGACCAGGTGGCGCGATAGCGGCCGTTTGCTGCCGATCCCCCATCGAGCCGACGGCGAAATTGAATCTCGGGAGATCGGGGGAGCTTTACATTTGCAATGCGGGAGCCTCATGATGATGGGGATGATGGTAATGGTGACGAAGCTGATGAGAATGGTGATGCTGATGGTGATGGCTGATGATGGTGGTGATGATGGCGGTGATGATCAGGATGATGACGATGACGACGACGCTGGTGATGATGATGATGCTGATGCTGATGCTGCCGCTGCTGCTGCTGCTGCTGCTGCTGCTGCTGATGATGATGATGATGATGATGATGATGATGATGATGCTGGTGATGATGATGACGACAGACACGGCCTACCTGGTCGGTCCAAATTATCACGACAGCAAGCAGCGCGCCAGATGGATATTCCACGTGTGAATACCGAACGGCTACGCGAACAAGGTCGCTGAGTTCACGCAGGCATACGAGTCGAGCAGGAGGCTGCAGGCGATCCCCGACAAACTCGACAAATGGCGCCGCCACTACACCGCATTTTTTCGAGTTCAAAGTGCAGCTGGGCCGAACGGAGAACACCGATGGCCACAGGTGGGACTGCCCCATCCTGGCGCGAACCGTCAATTCGGAGCAGAACGCATCGCCCTACCAGCAGGCGGTCGAAAAGCAGCTCCAGCAAATCATAGACGGCGCGGGCTGCACGGACG